TTTTCGAGCATTGCTTGGAAATTATCTGGATCTAATTCAAGTAATTGGCCTTCTCTTCTTTGTTTTTCATATAGTACTTTTGTCATCAGAGCAATTTTTTCACCGAAAGATAATGGTTTTCTAATAACTGCATTATCTTGTGTGTTAGTAGTAGTTAGTGCATTATTATCATTTCGGTTATACTCTGTGATATGTATATTACTAATTGATAACTTGTTTTTATCATTACGATCAGGCTCGACAATACTTAGGTAATGAGGATTACACAATTGCATTCCAACTTTTAAGTAATTATATTGATTAAAAGTATCTTTTGCTTTTATTTTTGTTAGTGTATAATCTGTGATTCCGCAATATTGATTTGAAGAAGTTTGGCAATCGTGAATAGAACAAGGGCCAAAATTTTTTTTAGGAGATATTATATTTATGTTAATGCTATGACGGGGTGAATTTAATGTTTAAAACTAATTTGGTTAAGAATGATATGATTATGCGTTAAGGCAACTCGCCAGGGGCATGATAATCATGATTTAATGTATTAATTATGTTTATTTATTTCAGATTAAACAGAATTAAAGAAATTTAAATAGGATCGTTATGCAGGGCGAGAATTAAGTAATAGAATTTTATTTATTAGTTATTTATTTATTTATTTAGTTATTTTATTATTATTGTTCTGAAGTTTCTTTTTCCTATTACTAAGGAAAAATGACACTCTTTTATATACAAATTATCATAAAAGGCTTGGGGTAAATTACAATAACGCCTTCGTTAATCCCGCCAATCTATTCCTTTCATTTCTTTATCTTTTAGGTTTCTTTTATCCGTAATTCCTTCTTCTCTTTGCTTATTGCTAGAATCTTCCAACAATTGCATCTAAGCCTCGTAGATCGTATGCGTAACTTTTCCTTCTCGAAGAATTCGATCAGCGACCCTGTTTCGAAAATCAAGTGATTATACCGCAGTTCTAGTCGATCATCGAAAATATCATTTTTACCCCGTGACAATGCAATATAATAGCTAATTGTATTTTTTATTTTCAAAAATTTTATTCTTAGATAAAGTGGATAATTTAATTATGTTGAAAAGAACTTAAACGGTTTGACAGATAAAATCAGATCTTT